ATGAATTTCTTCAATTATTAGTGTCAACTTGGCAATTTCAAAAGGGCAAAGATTTGAATTATCTTTAATCAAAGAGACTTTTTGGTTTTTGGGTTGACTGAACTTGGCAACGAGACCAAATTGCCTACATACCTTCTAATATGAAGAATCAAGTTGTAACATAGTTCTCGTGTTTTTTTTTTTAGATTCTAACTTTTGCCTAAGTTGTCATTTTAAGGATTCTCAACAAATATTTTTTCTTTTTCTGCAGGATCTAATATTTGCCTAAGCCATCCTATTAGGGATTTTTGGTTTAACGGGTTCATTTTTATTGGCAGTTTAAGCTTTTACCGAGGAACGAACATTCATGCATTGTAACATTTCAAGAATTTGCAATTGATTGGGCTGACTGTGAGGAGTAGACTAAAGCAATTAGTCTTTTCCACTTCATTAGCAATTTAAAGTATGAACTTCTTCAATTATCGACACCAACTTGGCAATTTCAAAATGGCAAAGATTGAATTATCTTTAATTAAAGGGACTTTTTCATTTTTGGGTTGACTGAACTTGGCAAAGAGACTAAGCTGCCTACATACCTTCTAATATAAAGGATCAAGTTGTAACGTAATACTCGTGTTTTTTTTTTTGGATGTTCACTTTGCCCAAGTCGTCATTTTAAGGATTCTCAACTTAATATTCTTTCTTTTTTTGCAGGACCTAATTTTTGCCTTAGCCGTCCGATTAAAGATTTTTAATTTAACGGGTTCATTTTTATTGGCAGTTTAAGCTTTTATGGAGGAACTAATATTCGTGCATTGTAACGCTTCAAGAATTTACAATTGATTAGGCCGGCTGTGAGGAGTAGACTCAAGCAATTAGTCTTTTTCACTTCACTAACAACTGATAGTATGAATTTCTTCAAATATTGACGTCAATTTCACAATTTCAAAATGGCAAAGATTTGAATGATCTTTAATGGAAAAGACTTTTTGCATTTTGGATTGATTGAGCTTGGCAAGGAGACTAAGATACCTATGTGCGTACCCTTAACATGAAGGATCAGGTCATAATGAAGGATTGAATTTTGGTTTAAAATACCTTGAGCTTGCTATTTGGTATAGTAGAGATGAATGGCTTGGACATCATGAGCTTATTCCGATGTTGATATGGTGCAAGAGTATGAGAGGTAGGGTAAATAATGGAAAGCAAAAGGGGAAAAAGAGTAAAAGCACGAGACACTAGAGCACAATAGAAGGGAGAACCCAGGCAACCCCCATGCAAACTGCCCTCAAAACGCCAAAAAATTGAATATTTTTATTAAGCTGAGGTGACCTGCCATGCAAGTGCACCTGTCATGGCAAAAGTCGGGGATGACAAAGATAGATCAAGCCTTAGCCCCCTTCTATGAATAAATACTAGCACTAACATCTTACACATCTTTTGAAAAATCTTGATTCATCGTAAACAAAAATTGCCAAAAGATAATTTGTACAAGAAAGTTGATTGAAAAAGAGACAGAAAAAATTAAATTAAATGGAACTCTAAAATCCACAGCAACAGAAATAAAACAAATTAAAAAGAAAAATTGAGTGAGATTATAATTGAAAGAAAATAGAGGAAAATTGGAAGAAGAGAAAGAGTTTAGATACCATTGAAGAGAAAGCTAAGGAAAAGTTGATCTTAGTTAAGAAACTTTCGATTCTTTATCTTTGCAAAAGATTATTTCTAGAAGATAAAATAAATAGGGATTTCAAGTAAAGACTGAAACAAATAAATTAAAGAAAAAAGATTACAGCTTCAAATAATATTTATTAATATATTTCCAAGATAAAATAGTTAATTTGCAAAGTATACTTCGATGAACTGAACAAGAAATATATGGCATTGTCAACAAATGAAAACCCAACAAATCTTGACTAATCCTAGCGTAACCAGTGGAAGAAAATTGATTGGAAAAATATATCAACATTTCAAGTGAAGAAAGTGGCAGGTAAACCAAACAAACGAAAAGAAAAATAAAGCATCTTGATTTGCCATGGAACTATGAAATAAAACAAGAAAAGGAGAAAACTTTTCTTTGAAAACAGATCATTTTTATCGCTGCAATGTGTAAAGGAAAAAGGGATTTTATAGCGGTCGATCTGCCAAGTGTCAGCATTACATTTGGCTCCGGAAAAAGGGCGCACAGAAACTGTCGCCCTAGCTGCTTTGGTCCAATTAATTCTTTATTCTACTTATATTTATTTTTAAAGTATTAATTAATGAAATATTTAAACTTAACAACCTTTAAAGCTCTTTCATTTATTGCATATTGACACATTTATAACCTCACAGCTTTCATAACTAATTATAATAATATTTAAAGAATATTATCTCAAAAAAATCTATTAATAGTGATTCCAAATGTCAATGATTTACCAATAAAAACTTCTAATTCGTTGCAAGTTTCATCTTTGTCCAC